GTGTGTGTGTGTGTGTGTGTGTGTGTGTGTGTGTGTGTGTGTGTGTGTGTGTGTGTGTGTGTGTGTGTGTGTAGTTTTATTTCGGTGGGATAGAGAGAAAGAGGGAGAAAAAAGGCAACACAAAGCGCCGTGATCACACTGGAGATCCTGGATGTAACCATGGAAGCGTTTGTCTCCGGCCTCAATGGGCTGCCTCGCCATTCACTCACTGATTGCGCTGAATCAATATTTAGGCTTTTCAGTTTTATGAGCTGCTCCCGAGGGGGATTTTTTTTTTTTTTTTTTGGCAAAGGCGCAAGAAATGTGGGGGGAAATTAGCAGCACTTTTTAACCGTTTTCCTGTAGTTTTACGCAATTCGTCTGCTTTGAGCTGTCTGGCATAATTGATGAGGAGCATCTTTATTCTTTGTGTCATTAATCTACCACTGGATTGGACCATTTCTCATCCACTCCCTTACTGGAAATCATTCACATTGAATGTATTCACCGTTCATTAGCTAATAGAAATAAACAAAAGTTTTTTTTGGCCACTTTGCTATTTTGGTTATTATTAACCACAATAAACAGACACACATTTAGAGGATAAATCTTGTGAACTTACCTGACACTTTGCCTGGCCTCTCCGTCCCGAGATAAGTTACAATATCTTTATTATAGCCGTGGAGAACATAGGGGGGGAAAGGCGCTCCTCAAATGCCCAGCTCCTCCTCCTCTCAAACACAAACAGCGAATTAAAACAGCGTCATTTTATCCCCGTGAACATAAGGTGAAGCGCGTCTGTCATGTCGTTTATAACGAGGCTGGAGTTGAAAATAGAGAGCCCAATCGGAGCGGGTTCCCTCCCTCTGGTCAGTTTCAAACCCGCTCCTAACTCCTCATGATCCTGCAGACATGTGGGCTGTTTGAGCAAAAGCTCAGTGTCCCGATAAAATAATAACAGTTAAAAAAAATGATTAAATAAAAATAATAATTTGCAGCTCCTCAGAGACTCAGACTCGTTTATCCGTCGCTGCCTAATCAGACAAGATGTTTTAATCCCATTTGTCTCATGAGGGTGAACTCTGTGTTGCTCAGACACAGCGCCACCGTGTGCACCCAGCAGGCATAGCCGCCGTTCTGTCGAGTTGCTGGCCACAAAATGAGAACAAAAAAATTAACTTCAACTAAAGGAAGCGGCGAATTCATCTGCTTGAACTGCATGAACGTTCCTAATCAAATAGCAAAGGTAGATACTAGAAATATGTATCTAAAATCGTAATGAATTAAAGGCAGTCCGCTTGTGAAGTAACTTAATCTTTAGCGCTCCCTGGTGGTGAAACAAGAATACTGCGGGCGGTCACTATAATAACGTCATTACGTAAATATTCTGTTGACGTGTCCTGAGCTGTGGTGGAAACAGTGGTTAGCACGGCGACGGGATCCGACTAAACATCTTGTGGAAGTATGGAATGGAAATAATCGAAGATAAGTGACCTGACAGCTTTTCTAATCAGGTAAAAATAGTTACTCAACTTCATAAGAATATCATAGTCACTAACAGACCTGTGGACCGCTACAAGCAAAGCTAAGTCGGGTAAATAAATTCTTATGCAGATGCTGCTAAAGCTAAAGCCTGTTAGCTTTAGCAAAGCCTGTATAAACACATCTCGGCTTGCCAAATCTAACGTTAAACCCCAATTTATGGTTAATTTAAGTCACCTGTGGTTTGTGATTTTACTTTGGATTAGGGTATTGTTACCCAGCTGAATTAGAGGGAATTAATTACCTCAACTATTTTTTTTCTATAGTGTTCAATATATTAGCCAACGGGCAATAAATAAGATATGTAATGTTTACAGTTTACTCCTTTAGTTTATCTCTGTGGTTAAATGTAGCTTACATTCGTTAGCCCGAGCAACAATATATGGCTTTTTTAAGTTACAGACCCGTCGTTAAGACAAAGGTCCAAATCTGATATCACATAGGCATAATCTGTCACGATATGATTTCGATTCAATTCAATTTACGTCTGTGATCCATATAATGTAGTATCATATGCCCATTATATGATATTGATTCCCATCGAGCATATGATGACATTGTAGATCGGTGTTTTCATTTTGCCTCGATATAACTCAATCATGCACCATTCAAATTGATATATATCGATATAGATCAATGTATCGTTACGCCCCTATTATTGTTAACCTAATTTCATTTTTGTTTAATTCTGCAGTCCACGCTCAAGCCTGATACCTGCCAAGCCGGTACAATTACTAAGTATCTTAAAGTAGAGCAATTATCCTAAAGTGTAGAATTCAAAGGACAGTGGTGAATCTTCCCATCAAAATGACCAAGAGCTCACTGACAACACAAACCTCCATCATAGAGGATTTCAAACTTCACGTTCCTTAGTGTAATAAAAATAAAATAATACTAATATTTGAGCAAAAATGGCTTCCATGGGTGAGTTCCAAGATGAAAAAGCCACTGCTGACCTAAACATGACAAAGGCCTGAATAGCTTCTTTCAATAATAAATTAAATCATCATTTAAAAACTACATTTTATATTTACAAAGACAATCTATGGCTTATATTAATATTTGTTTGCTGATATGAAAATGTGACAAAAAAAAAGCAAAAAAGGGGTAAAATATATTAGTGATACTACTGCTACTACTACTGTACCTAGTTATTTGTTGTTCTACATGTTAAACCAGTGTTGTCCAGTCCTGGTCATTGAGGCCCATTTGTCTGGGATGTTTTAAATAAGTCTGCTTTGTCACACCCGATTTCAATGAATAAGAGACTAACAAGCTTTTGTAGAACTTGAAGAACTGCTGAGGAGCAGGGAAACGACTGGAACAGTGACATCACACTCACCTGCATGCTCAAACTGCTGATACCTAATCTCTCGAGTTACCGTTACCCAAGTTTACTTGCACATGCTGTTTAAACAGTGTCTGTTTACAAGAAGTTATTTTTTGCTCTATATAATATTAACCTGAGAACAAAGTGAACTTAGTCACATTTTCCTCAGCATGTTTTGGGTGAGTCAGTCTTGCTGTATAAGAGAAAATTTGCTGCCCAAGTCCAGAGTTTGAAACTCATGCATTTTTATTTTATCTTTTGCACATTCAGTGAAGCAAGATGTCCAACAGAAGTCAGCACTATGGGTTCCAGTCAGCCACCATGGTGCAGCCGGCTTATGGCGGTCATGCCTACCTGTTTGGAAACAATGGCTCAGAGAACGACCTATCAGAGGAGGACGGAGAAAGCTTCGAGCTACGGTCACGTGGAAGAGAGAGGCTACGAAGAAGTACCTCCAAAGAGAAACTGGATGATATAATCTACCTTACTCGTGATATCCAGGAAGGGGACACCCTGAACAGCATTGCTCTGCAGTACCATTGCTCAGTATGTTTTTTTTTTCCTCTCTCTCTCTCTCTTACTGGAAAGTACTCACTGAAATTCTCAATCATTTTTAGCTAATGTACAGAAACCCAACAAGAACCATTTGCATTTGGGGCAACAAAAATATTGATTAGAGTACCGTATTTTTCGGACTATAAGACGCACCGTACTATAAGCTGCACCCGCCATTTAAAAAAAAACCCCAGCAAACAGCATATAAGCCGCACTGGACTATAAGCCGCACCCCCAACATAAAAAAACAGTACACCCAAAATTGTCATCAAAAAAGTAAATTCAACATCAAAACATAAAAAGCAAACCTTTAGGGATTAAAGTTCGGAGGAATACGGTTCATTTAACTGACCTTATTTTGGTAGTTTTCTTTAACAGTTTCTGGTCCAAAAAAACGTCTCATTCATCTTCCTCCAGCGCACTGAAACCATCGAAGTCCTCCTCTTCAGTGTCGGAGTTAAACAAGCTGAGAAAAGCTGCGTCACACAGCGGTATCTGTTCAGTGTCGGAGTTAAACAAGCTGAGAAAAGCTGCGTCACACAGCGGTATCTGTTCAGTGTTGCTTTGTGTCCCTGTCCTCCCGGGGCTCTGAAGCTGTGGTGTCGTCTTCACGTAGCAGTCCAGCCTTTTGGAACCCATTGGTGATGGTGGACCTGTTCACTCGGCTCTACGCTGTTAGAATCCACTGGCAGACAACAGGAAATGACGCTCTTCGCGTTCAGCCAGTTTTTGTGAATGATTTATCCCCGTCAGTCATCCAAGCCTCCCATTCAGCCCTGAGTGCTGCTTTAAATGCACGATTCACACTGATGTCCAGGGGTTGTAAAAACTTTGTTGTACCTCCAGGAATAACAGCAGGAATTGAGTTTGTTTTCTTGATGGCTGCTTTCACCGAATCCGTGATGTGGGCCTGCATACTGTCCAATATTGTGTCTGTCGAAGATCCGTCATGTCGTGTCTGCTACTAGCTAAAACTAAATGGCGCTACACCTCTGGCTAAGCTTGGTATGGTCGCTCGGCTGTCGACCGGTCGACGCGTCGTCACGTGGTTGTTCGGCGTTCGTTTTCGCACTGACCTTTCATGGTTCCTCCGAGCCGAGCTGCTGGGAAAGCCCTCCCACTCCAGCATATGTCACTGCATGGGATTCCTTGCCCAGGGAGTGCAATGTGGGGAAAAAAAGTCTGCAGCTCTTCACTTGACGTTTATCCACAAACTGGTCCCGGATTAAGCTCCAAAGTTTTTATCAGTCAGATTCCACTGTGAAAAATGTCTGTTTTATCCCCTTTTATGAGTTTTTGGCCATTGACCATCTTTAAAATCGCTGCTTCCTGGTACAACATTCGGCTCTGGAAGGATTGCCTTTTTCTTTTTTTTCCTTTTTTTTGAAGCGAGTGGTTGAAGCAAATGCAGCATAAGAGCCCCCTGGTGGCTGAAGAAAAAAATCCACATACAAGCCGCACCGCACTATAAGCCGCATGGTTCAAAGTTCAGGAAAAAAGTTGTGGCTTATAGTCCAAAAAATACGGTATTAAATTGAACATTTAAATTATTTAAGTTGCATGGTAATCATAAGTTATTGATAAAACTGCTAATTTATTTGTCCTAAGGTAGCTAATGATTCATATCAGCTCACATGGAAACTACAGCAAAAAGAAAAAAAGTTTTGCTGATAGTAGATCAGTATGTTGACAAAAAAAATTAGCTGTTTTTCCTTTTGTATTTTGAGAAATGTCTTGACTTTGTTAGAGACACCACACCAAAACTTCAAGTAATACTTTGATGAAGGATGGCTTGAACTGTGGATGAGACACAAGTGACACATGTCTGATGTAGATGCAATAATCAGTTATCAGAGGGATCTAAATAGAAATTTCAAGAATCTACACTATGCTGCTGGTGTAAAACCTGCTTAAAACGTTTCAAATATCTTGAAGCTCAATTTTGTGACTATTTTACACAGCAACTGTGTGACATCCTACCTAGGGTGTGGTGACTGAAATCCTTTTCAAATTTGAATGAATTTACAAGCTCTGCAAACAGAGTTTTGTACAGGGAGTTTTACGTATGTGATTTGCTGACCAATTGGTAATCTCTACAGTTTCCACATCACTTTTTCCTTTCAGCTGAGCTATAATTTGTGGAAGGGAAAGATGGAAGCAAAGAAAATGTGTTTTGTTTCAAACAATGCTTTGGAAATTAAAGATATATATATTTTAGACGCCAATGCTTCACAAAGTAAAGTTTCATAAAATGTAGCTTGAGACTGTGCATTCACAGTTCAGGTAATTTAGGTGTTTTCTAACCATAATATACTGTCTAAATGATCTTCTTCGTGCTTTCTAGGTGGCTGACATTAAGCGGGCAAACAACCTTTTGACAGAACAGGATTTCTTTGCTCTGCGTTCGATTAAGATTCCTGTGAGGCGCTTCAGTGTCCTCACAGAGACCCATAATGCCGGCCCTTTCAAAGCTGCCTCCCCCACAGCTGCCAGACGTGTGCCCCAGATCTCCCCCGTTATGTCCCTCCCCTCCGAGTCCTCCACGGACTCCTCTTCTTCCACAGACAGCGTGGAGGGATTTCTCCAAGAGAAGGACAAGGACATCGAGCAGCTGGTGAAGTCCACAGGACCTTCTCGGAGCAGCCTCAATGAAGTGGTGTCCTCTCTGACACTGCAGCAGCAGCAGCCACTGCTGGGAGAAGTGGAGTACAAACCGATACAGAGAAAGGACCCTTACTATGGAGCAGACTGGGGTATGAGATGGTGGACGGCAGTGGCCATCATGCTGGTTGTGGGCATCGTCACACCCGTTTTCTATTTGCTGTACTATGAGGTTCTTGTGAAGTCTGACGTCAGCCATCATGGTGCTCCCACACATGCAGCTGATAACATGCAACATGGACAGATTGAAAGTAAAAATATGGAACGTTTTGTAGAAAACAACCCTTTAAAGTCTAGACTTGAACAGGTCGACAGAAAGCCGCAAAATCCCAGTTTGGACGAAAATGCACCGCTTAGGAAAACATAGCAGGAAATTTTTTTCCGTATTTTTATTAACTCAGAAAAAAAAACTCTTTAGAAGTTCCCTTTTTTAAGTAGTCACGATAATCCAATGTATTTTGTTTGTTGGGAGCAATAATTGAAGCATTGAAAAGCTGCATGAAAGTCTTGGGCCTATTTTGTGAGTTTTCAAGTGCAGAATTTTTATTGGTCTATTCAACACAAGATGTTTTTGTGGTATCCAAAATTCTGCACTTTTACTCAAATATGTAGACGTTTTTTTATCATGTAGACATTTTTTTATCATTATTTCCTAAAGATTACCATGCATTTGGTGGCTGTGGTTTAAGAAAATTAATTCAGTTGATTTGCTTTAACTTTGGTTCAGATGCATTTTTGTTTTCCATGCCAGTGTAGAAAAATCAACATTCCTTGTAAAAGTATGGCTGCTACTTGATTAGAAATAATTTATTGAAAGACTTGAGCATTAGTTACTCCTTATACTATCAGTATTGTCCGGTAAATTTTAATGGCATTATCTTGATTCTGTCTGTTGCTAGAAAGTTTTTTTTGTTTGTTTTTAAAACCTAGCATGTTTATATGGGAAGTGCACAGTGTTCCCGTACTGCCTCATAACTGTAATGATGTGAACTTTTAGACGTTGTTATATAGCCCTTTTATTTGGTCACAGTGTTCACTTGATAATTTATCACAAAGCATCACAGAGATATTGACAGAATGTGCCTTTTAACCTGTGGAAATGTGCTGCAGGATGAAAAATAAATTAAACTATTTTCAATACATTACTCTTCATTCTGTCATTATTGGGACACTTCTATTTACAGCATTTTCTAACAATCGTTTCTAATTTACACAAAATAAAGCGAAGCACCAATCTGCTACATTAAATTATTACTCATTAAATTGCTACATTAAAAAAAACATGATGCACACTGCAAACTTGTTCAAATTTTAAAGTCACTTTGTTTCAGTACGTTGCTTCACCATCCATATTCTCATCACTGTCGGCAGCAAAATCTTCTCCGTTGTCAAAGTAGCTTTCGATGTAATCGTTTTCCTAAACAAAAACAATAGAGGCTAATTCTAACAGGATTTTATGAATATGAAATGTTGCAGTTAACCTCTTAGATCATTTTGTAACTTACCTCCTCAATATCTTCTTCGTATTCTTCTGCTTCAATTTCTTCATCCTCCTCATTTTCTGCTTTCTTCTCAGTCTCATCGTCTGACTTTTCAGGATCACCGTCATCCTTTTTAGCCAGTTCCTGAAGGAACAATAAAAACTACCAATGACATTTTCAAGCATTTTTTCAGTACATGCTAACTTTTTTTTTTTAAGCAGACAAAACGTTGACAACAAGCAGGTTTTGGAAGAGCTAGATAAAAATTTTGACACATTTGGACCTAAAATGTTTGGCTCTTTTGCTTAGTGTGATGTTTGAAATGCTTTTAAGTATGATATATTGCAAATGTTGAAATATAGTTTGGTATTGTCACATAATATTATTCTTTAAATTATAATTAAGATCTGGCAAATTCAATAGTTACGAATTAAACCAATGGTTTAAAACAGAAATCAAATTAGTGATTCACACAAATTCACAGTAGTGTAAAAACAAACAAACAAAAAAAACTTACGTCTAATTTATTCAAAACTTCTGCTGCGTCTTTGCGTGATATCGTCACCGTTTTTTTCTTTGTCTCTGGTGAAGTAAAGCCTTTTAAATCACATCTCATACAATACAACCTCATTACACATGTTGGTTTTAACATACCCATTTTAGCCCTTAGCTTTTTAGTCCGGGGCTTCAGTTCTTTTGGAAACAAATTCCAGTCTAAAAGAAAAAAACAGAAAAAAATACATTTTTTTCTTTCATTAAAAAAAGTAAATGTTTTTCATTTTATAAGAGCCTTGTACCTGGAGTCCATTCCTCATCATCAATATGTTTCTGCTTCAGGTACCGTTCAGTGTATTTCTCCACGTCTGTTTTATGTAAACAAGAGACAGATGTGATATATAACACCCTCACATAAGAGGGAATTCATATCAATTACAGAAAAATATCACAACTGTGTGAAGCCATTAAAGATTCAGATGGTTCTAGAAAAAAAATTATTATTGTTTCCCCTAAAAGATTTGAAAGAAAAAGGAAGAAAACAATATTATGGATATGCTTGTTCAATGAGGTAACTCTGAAAGACTAAGAAATCACGTTAATACTGCAAGACGAGACAGCACCTCTAACTCAATAGTCTGCTAGGACTGTGCTCTTTTCCAAGATATGGCCCTAATTAAACGTCTCACTTTCTAAAAGCTGCATTACCTTCACTCACAGCAGCCCCAAATTGTCTTGGCCTAGCAATTCTCCCGGACGTCAGGTTTCTAATGCAGCACTCTCCTCCTCACCTGCTTTGTTGGTCGGAGCTTTAATGTTGTGTGGCCGTCTCTGCATCGCTCCTCTCAATTCCTGCTTCAGGGCCAACATGTAGTCCTCGTCTTCACCAGTTTTCAGTGGAACTGGTTTAAATTCAGTATTCTGGAGAAGGACAGATAAGACGATGAAGACAAAACAAATGGATTTTTTCCAACGGGTGTTTTCAGCTTGGCCAGGATCAACACAGAAGAATATATATATA